GCCTCGGCCCAGGGGTCCAGCCTGTCCAGGTCCCTCTGCAGGGCCATCCTACCCTCCAGCAGATCAACACTCCCACCCAACTTGGTGTCATCTGCAAACTTACTGAGGGTGCACTCGATCCCCTCGTCCAGATGATTGATAAAGATATTAAACAGAACTGGCCCCAGTACTGAGCCCTGGGGAACACCACTTGTGACCAGCTGCCAACTGGATTTAACTGCATTCACCACAACTCTTTGGGCCTGAACATGCAGCCAGCTTTTTACCCACTCAAGAGTACCCCCCTCCAAGCCATGAGCAGCTGGTTTCTCCAGGAGAATGCTGTAGTAAATGGTGTCAAGGCTTTACTAAAGTCTAGGTAGACAACATCCACATCCTTTCCCTCATCCACTAAGCGGGTCACCTTGTCACAGAAGGAGATCAGGTTAGTCAAGCAGGACCTGCCTTTCATAAACTCATGCTGATTCGGTTTAGGGGATGGGGAGCCAGCAGAAGACCTTATTAGGTATGAATTACAAGCCTGTGTCAGGTTCCAGGGTGCGCAGCTGGAAAGGTTACCTTCCTTGTCCTTCCTTCCTCCCTCTTGGCAGCAGAATAAAATTGCTACTTAATGGCATTTCTGGGGTTGGAAGTAATGTGGTACTTCTGTTTTGTAAGATTTCTGCACATGCCCTGGGTCCATACTAGTCGTCCTTGGACATCCTCTTCTCAAACCAGCCTTGCCAGCCATCCACATTAAGTGTCAGGTCCAGTAAGTGGCTGCAACTTTAAAAAACATTAAAGAGGAACTCTTTAATGTCCAGAATAAGCTAGGAAGTCCCAGGAATGAATCACAAAATTGATCTCTTGCACCAAAGGGGCTTATAAGGGTGCATAGGTGGGTATAAGCACCTGGAAAAAGGCTCTTGAGAAAAGGACATTAGAGAGGCGGAGGTGACAACACATTGTGGAAAAAACCGTGTATTTCTGCCGCTTGCCAGTGGCTGTTCAGAAAGGTGTTTGAGATACCATCAGCTCCTTGGCTCACAGTTTCCAAGGAAGTGTTTGCACAGCTGATATGTGGGAGGCAACATGTGGCTCTCTGATGGCATAAAACCAATTTTTTGCATTTATATGATGTGCAAATGTGCCTCCCTGCTCCCATGAATCTCAGACAGTGTATGTGTTCTGCAAGCTGGGGGAAATGAGGGGAGATCCCAGCTCACCATATACATAATAGGCTACCCATGGTAAAAAAAGGCTGCAGAATTTAAATGCAGCACCCAGCATTTTCTCACTGCCTATTTCTAATCTCTCCTGCAAAGGCAGTGCACGGGTAGGGATCTCAATCACAGTCTGCTTCTGCCAAGAATATGGTAAAGCACAGACAGCGCTAGTGCAAAATTTCCCATTAGTGCTGAAGAGTGTGTCTGAGGCCAGGCTGTGAGAAAGGTGAGGCTGGAGGTCTTCTCCTCCCCTCCAGGGACTGCGGCTGTCGACAGAACTAACAAACTGGATAAAGCAGAAATAACAACCCACAGTCCTTCCTAGTGAAATGAAGATTTCAATAACCTGTGTTGCAAACAGCAATAATAAGCAGTCTCTTCTGTTTTGAACAGGTAGGAGCAAATGTGCCAAGGGTAGAAATAAGCCTTTAGAGCGATCACTTAGATTAAAGAGGCTTGCACTGAGCCGGGGTGAGGGAGATGTACTTTCCTCCCAAGCCGAGGAAGCAGGAAGGCAAACAGTGGTTTGACTGTTTCCAGGCAAGTCGGGCTGTTTTAATCACCTTTCTTCTTCCTTTCAGTGTGCCTGGGCGAGCACCTGCATGCATGTCCGTGTGCGCACCGCTGTGCTTGACCCCGAGCCAGCAAGTGGGAGAGCACGCACCCACCGTGTGACCAAAGAGCGTATCACAGCATCAAACATGGAGGGGAAAAAAGAAAAAAAAAAAAGAGAGGGAGGCCCAAAACCCCCAATCTGACACGCTCAGCAAGTTGCTGTTTGGCATGTTAGTGACGCCACCAGCACTCAGAAAGCAGCTTTCTCTTACAGTGGGTTTATTGAGAAGATTATTAAAACCTTTTCATTTAAAAACATTTGGCAGAGACTTCTGCATAAGTTGGGAGGACATTTTTGCCCACATCCACTTCCAACAGAGAAAGGAGAGTTTAAGGGGGAAAAAAGCAAAACCCCACCGACTTTCCTGATGGCTGCCAAAAAGGGTCCTGAAAGAGCTTGTCTTGTGAGCGAGAGGGACACCAAGAAGTACTCCTTGGCCCTAGACAGGTAACACAGCTCTGTTTCCTTTGCTGCCATTGCTTTATCTTCGAGAGCAATACGAGATCACTGATCTGCCGACGGGCTGCTGAAGTCAAAGTGCGAGGAGCTTCACAGTGCGTACAGGGAACATCTTTCACTACTTTCATAATGTTTTGTTTGATTTCTTCCTTTCCAAACTTTCGTATTAAATGTTTGATGCATTTACTAGACAGCAGCCTGGTGTGTCTGCATCTGCATCTGTGATGGATTGAGCCAATCTACGGTTGAAGCAAGTGTCTCCTGCTATGTATTTTATAAGCTTAGTAGATTTATTGTAGGATGCAAAACCTCATGGATTATGCCACAATTTTAGGCTGAATTATAATAGCGCTATTGACACAATGTTTGATTCAAGGCTCCTTCATGCTTGAATGTCTAAATAATCTATTTGGTGTGAAAGAAATGAGATGCTGTTAAGGACTTGATCCTGCAAAACTTTATTCATGTGGATAGCCTATCAGACTTGAAGCTGATGTACCTCTCATATGCCAGAGGTCCCGTGAGTAAATGCTTGCTTAAGTGAGGAAAGACCCTCTGAAAACATATGCTGTAGCTTGGGTTAAAAAATGAGTATAAATGTCTATCACAAAATAGTTTTGCAGTTGAACTTATTTTCATTCTTCCTCTTGACTCAGACCAGCAAGTATTTTTAAAAGAAAATAGCTGCTCCATTACAGCTTAGCACCTCTTGACATTTCCATTATCTCATTGGTTTTCAGGTTATTTATTGCTTGGCTCTCTTAAAACGCGTGGGACAGAAACTTGGCGTAAACATTGTCAGTTCAAATGGAAATCTGTCTCTCCATGCTCTTATACTGGGGTCACTGCCGTCATATTTTAGTCATTTGAGTGTCTGGGTTATTATTTAAATATTATTACATGGCTCCATAAATATACATGGCACTGTCCAAAATGTCTTTTGCGGTAACATTTGTATTTTAAAAAGATCCCATATGATTCTGCAATTCATTTTAGTTACTGAAGAATATCAGAGCTTTTTTGATAGCTTGCAGTTTTGTGGGCATAGCTTCAGTGGTTGAGGTCCTTTGGCCCCTTGCAACCTCTGGACACAAGAACATCTCTGGATGAAGCCTTCACATGGTGCGGGAAGGGGTGCCCTGAGACAGGGATAGTTGTTAGGCTGCCTCTTGAGGAAGCCCTCGGTTTCCCTGGATTAACAGGAACAGGGAATATTGCCAGTGAGGAGAGGGGCAGGATGCACATCAGGGGCAGTAACCCCCAGCAGCGGATCCTCCCGTCTAAGAGATGATTTACCTTCTGGAGGAGTCGATTTCTTTCTGATAATTATTTCTTAGTTTAGGATTGAAGTTAGTTGAGGCAAATCGCTGCAACAATTACAATTGTTAGGCTGGTTGCTGCAGATATTCCCAACAGCCCCAGAGCTTGAGGGCCAGTCCCAGGAGGGCTCCATAGCAGAGGTCCTGAGATGGCTGAGTTATGGCAGTGGTAACACAGTTCCCCAGGAGGAAGAGGACTTGTCCAGGCATGTGGCTTTTGTGTTGTACCTCTTCTCGGCTTTTCTTGCCAGGTGAATTTTGATTAACTGTATGACCTAATTACTCTGTTCCAGCAATAACCAGAAATGGGGGCTGAGAGCCAGGGTCTCCCTCCCGTTCAGAAGAGCTGGCAGTTCAGGGGAAGCCCTTGCCCTGCTTTCCCTTCCAGCCCAGCAACCCAGGGTGCCAGCTTGGGAGCTGGAGCCAGCGTGGCGGTGGGGATGCAGCCTGCTGGGCTCAGGCTTGCACAGACCGGCTGCGTGCACAGCTTCAGGTGTCTTAAGCCGATCAGTAGCAATAAGCTCATCTTAGCCTTTGGTATAAATTACCACATTTTTCCATTCCCTGTGTGTAGGCTTAATGAACAGCTCTAATGCTTTCAACAGAATTTATTATGCACACACATAGCTTATTTCTTTGCCGTCCCCCAGCCTCTTTCTTTTTAATAAATGCCATTATTACAATACACAGGGAACAAAACTGGTTTTATCTTAACCACGTGAGTAGGAACTCTGAATACAGGTCCTGTTCCCTGCTCACAAGGCTGTGGGGGAGAGTGTTTTGTACATGCCAAGCCGGCCTGTAGTCACTAGCAGGTTTGGATGCATTGAGGCATCCCATGCCAAACTTGAAACACTTACAAGGGGGTGGGCTTTAACTGAGATCTCTGAAAATCAGGTCAGTTGTAGGCTTGTAGGACAATTCAGGTTGGAAGGGACCTCAGGAGGTCTCTGTCCCAATCTCCTTCTCAAAGTGGGGTCAGCCGAGAGATCAAACAAGGTTGCTCAGGGCTTTATCTGGTCTAATCTTGAAAAAAATCTCTCAGGATGGAGACCGCATAACCTATCTGGGAGGTAATCTTCTCCAATACTGAATTATCCTCACAGTCAGGTTTTTTTCCTTGCATAAGTAAAAAGACTTATGACCATTGTCCTCATCCTTCTTCCATCCGCAGCAATAAAGCTCCATCTTCTCAATAATATCTTCAAAAATATTGGCAGGTTGCTGTTAGACGCCCCTGAAGCCACCTCTTCTCTAGGCTGGACAAGTCCAGTTCCCTCAGGGCAAGTGCTCTGGTCCTGAACCATCCTGGTGGCCCTCTGCTGATCCTCTGCCAGTTTATTGATCTTTCCTGTGCTGGAGACTGACTACATGTGGTCTCAGAAGCTGTCTCAGATGCAGGACTTTGCATTCATCTTTGCTGAATTTCATAAGGTCCTGTTTGCCCCTGGCAGCCTATGGCAGCCTTGCCCTCCAATTTATCAGCTGCACCCTTGTCTTGGCATCATCTGCCAACTTGATCGGGGTGCGCTCCACCTCCTCCTCCAGGTAATGGGCAAAGATATTACACAGGACGGGACCCAGGATAGGACACCACTTCTCACCAGCCTCCAGGAAGGGTATGAACCATAATCGTAACAGAGTCTGAAGCTGAGCACTCAGAACTTCCTGCTTTATGCAAAAAAGCCTGTAAGGCATATCAAGTGAGATTCATATAATCTCTTTTTAACTTAAGTCTAAATTAGGTGTGTAAGATAGTTTTCTATGGTCTTTTTACAGTCAATGGTGGTGGTGGGAAAGGATAAATTCTTCAGATGATTAATCATTTGTTATGTTATTTTTTATTTGTTTTCATGTATCTAATGATCTAGATAAACATTTATCAAAGACTAGGGAATGTTTTGACCAAATTCCTGAAGTTCCTATGAATGAAGACAGGCCAGATGATTTTATTTTTTGCTGACAATAGATCAGTGTAATATTGACCAAAAAGATTCAAAATCTCACTTCATAAATCAGTGGATTTGCATCAGATTGTACGATCTACACTGTGAACTAGATTTTGGCTTGATCCAGCATGGATTTCTGGATTTCCAGTCACGTTCTTTATATGTCATTATAGTAGGATTTTGAATACCATCAACACAAGTGAAACTCAAGGCTTCTGGCCTAAAGGTTTTTGTTTTTATTTTGTCTCTGAGGCAAGAGACAAGAAAAAAAGGGGACAATGTTGAAATCAGGAAAGATGTGTAAAAACCTTAGGGCTTGTCTTTACATAGAAGTTTTTAACACAGGGTATTAATGTGACCTGTAGTTATTCCTATCTATTAGTGAAGCCTTAGGCTTGTAATTGATTCCTGCCTGCCAGGTTCATACCAGTAGGCAAAAAGTTTGAAGTGAGCCTGGTAGATCATTTCTTCAGCTGGAGACTGATTTTCTATAACAAGCACATAGGGAATATTTTCTTCTTTTTCTGCCTTCCTGCAGGTGATATGAAAAGTCTTATGGGATCAAAGAGTTCTCATCAAATAAAAGGTTTTCACCACTCCTTGTGCTTTGCAGAAGTCAATGCTCAGGAAAACCTTAAGTGTTTCTTGTGACTTCTGAAGGGTTTTAGCTGGGCCCTGTCCCCTTTGTACTGGCTTGCCAGCTGGCCCCAGGAGCACACAGTATCTTAGGGGACTCAGCAAAACCCATCCCATTGCTTTTGCCCTCGTGTTAGGTGACATGAGGACCCTGTAGAAAGGACTGTGTCTGCCCAGTACTGGCCATATGCTGTCTCCATTATGCCCACTTTAGTTATGCCCACTTCATCTTAGAAAGAAAATTAGAACTGAGATAGTAAGAGGTATGAAACAGAAATTAAATAACTAGGACACAAGCTCAGAAGATTGATGGTTCAGGGGTATAACAGTGATACATAAAATCATGAATGATGTGATGAAGGTAAATGGGGAATGGTCATTCATTATTTCTAACAGTACAAGAACTAATTAAAATATCAGGCAGACAGCTTAGGAGTAACAAAGGATGCATTATTTTTACACAAATCATAATTAAATTGTGGAACTCAACACTTTCAAGTCAGCCAGGTTTGTGGAAGAAAGATCTGTAAAGGGTTATTAAACACAAGCTCTGGTTCAGCCACCTCCCAGCCTCCAGATTTGTGCAACCGGAGTACCGCCCTGGACATGTTCCTTTCTAGTACTTTGTCCCCACATATTCCCGTTGTGCTCATGACAGAGTTTGGATACTTGACTACATGCACTCCTGGTCTAATTCCATGCAGCTCTTGTTATAAAGTTATGCAGAAGGAAATTTATTGACAATACATTTATGCATACATGGCCAGGCCCTCAAAATGAGACTAAATTTCTATATTATAAACAAATTCCCATCTACTAGACACCATAGGGCAAATTCCCATCTACTAGACATCTAAATGTATGCAAATACATAAATATTCACCTTTGTTTTGTGCCCACAATAAGGAAAAGGAGAATCTGAACAGCCAGGCTATAAACAAGGTCTTAAATGGCTTGGAAATATTCAAGATTGGTACATCAGTTGAAATCGGAATGGTGCCAGCATAAGGGAGGTGACTGTGGCTTTGATAAATTTTTCTCTGAAGGCAGTTTCATTGTCCTTTCAGGCACCAAAAAATTACTGTTTTCCCTTGTGAAGGACACGATCTCCTGTGGGAAGTGCAGTGATTCCACATTTTGCTCTTTTGACTGGGGATCTCATAATGGTCTAGGAGGACGGCAATTATTCCCATCAGCCTGCAGATCAAGGCACCCAACAGATCAAGTGAAAACAAACAAAAGGAAGTTGTAATCAAAAGCTCTTGCTAATGATTTCTGTGGAATCTGCAATATGTATTAATATTTTCTCCTTCCCCCCTTCCGGGCATGACTCAGTAGGAGTCTTTCTGTGACATTCCCCCGACTACATTTTTTACAAAGGAAAGAGAATTTGAAATGGAGAAAAGATTATTTTTTAATCTGGGACTCTGCTTGCAGTGTGCTGGTGCAGAGATCTGATGCTCAAAGGCTACATCTTGCTCTAACACACTCAGAAGGGGTTTATGGTTTGACAGAGCTGATCTCTGCACCTTAAGCTTTTGATTCACACATTTTTAAAACTGTCTCTTAGATTCTTTTAATTAGTGGCAGGCTGCTCTTGGAAGAAGAAAATAATGGTTACGCACGGGAGCTGGCAGGAGTCTTCCTAACTTATGGGGCCAGATGCTGCTCTGCGAGTTCAAAGGGAGCAGCGAATGCTCACCACCTCTGACAACCGGGCCACTTTTATTTAGGTACCCTTTAGACAGAAAAATGTGACAATTGCGGGTTTATGCTGTCTGTTTGCTTTTGCATCTGTTCAACAAGATCTGTGCACAGCGCCTTCCTACCCCTCAGTGGTACTCTGAGGTTTTGTTAGCTGATGGAGAGACCTGAAGATTAAAAAAGGGAGCGGGATCACAAAGCGGCCTATTTTGTTAACAGCAAGGAAAGGATTTGGTGGCTCAGAAATCTGCAGGGGTAATTTTGGCATCCCTGCCCTGACAGGCTGTTGAGCTGATCAGGACTCATGTCGTTAAGATGATTTTAATGTTCAATGCCAGCTGATGAAAATTGAGTTAAAGGGAAATGAATTTTACATGCAAACTATAGAAAAGCATTGGAAGTTAACTCCAGAGAGGGATCACGAGAAAGAAAAACTTGCATGCCCTGATCTCCAGGGGACAGTGAGAGAACTACAGTATTTTATTCAGCCATCTGGAAGGAATCAATTTGTGATACCTTCTGAGTCTAATTCATCAGGAAAATATCGTACATAAGTGACACGGTGCACATAAGGAGCCTGATGAATGTAAAACTAAGGGACTGGAGAAGGACTGGCTAGCGGGTACCCCTGCTGCCAGATGGGCAGCCCATTCCCCAGACAGTCCAGCTCCTATTTATTTGTTGTTGTGAGGAAAATAAAGGAAAACACTGACAAAAGGACTAAGAAAACTCACTGTCTCCAGGCATCAGGCATGAAATCTGACCAGCTGCTCTTTCACGCAAGCTCCTCACGTACAGGGGGAACCGGTGAGCAAACAGAGACCACATGCTAACCTGGCTGGGAAACAAGCTGACTCAGGGGAACACGTTGCATCCTTGGAACATCTCAATAATATTTACAAAACCAACCAAATCCGTGCTGATTATCTACAGTTGCAGGGCTTGACTGCCAAGGTGGGTGCTTTCACCAGTATCTCCGCAGTGCTGATGAACACAACGAGGCTGCCTTTGCCTCTTGCCTGTTGGTGGGCTGTGGGGCACCTGGCAGGACTTTGGACCCGCTGAGCAGCTGCAGCCCCCTCAGGCTGCCCAAAAAGGCAGCTGGGAAAAGCTTGTGACTTCAGTGCAATTCTTCTCTTGACTCCAACTGCTACGGATTGGCAGCCACCAGCTTGATTTCTTTCCAGCAAGTTTTTAGGCATCTTGACACTTCCGTAAACAGTGCAGAAATCCTACAGAAAGTCACCAAGATCCATGTACCTTCCAGAGCACAGGTCTCTTTCATGCAACTGAAGAAACAACTCTTCCTGGTCCCAAATGAAAGTCCTTAGTCAGAATGAGGAAAAGAGGCTGTTATTACTGGGGGCAGCTACCCCCACGTCATGCCCCCAGGCTAATTTCAGACTCAGAAACAGCAGTGGAGTTTGCTGCATTCCCAGACAGGTTTGTGGACTACGGACCTACACATACAGACCTCAAATAGCTGTAACACATGGTTATATGGATGTTACATACATGCATCTGGGCAGAATTCACCTTTTGATGCCACAGTGTGCTCCCAAAAGTCTCAGTACGTGGCAGGGGATGTTTTACCAATGGGGGTATTGCATTAGGAGCATCTCTGGCAACAAATGTTGTATCTGGAGAGACATAATGGATTTCAGTCAAGCCTCCTGGGACAGGGTTTAGGGGGTTTTTTTTGCCATTTGGGCTCTTCTTAGTTGAGACATAAGGAGGGAATGTCCTTGCTTACCAAACCACCTTGGGGCCTCCCCTGAGGGAGTCTCTGGGCGGCTCTAGTGAAAGCACCAGATGTCATGGTTGTCCAGGAGCTCAGCCCCGGACATCTCTGTCCCCATCCCATATTTCCTATGCAGGAAGGACAGCATTGAGGTTTTGTGGCAAAGCAGATTTGGCTGGGAAATCACCTTGTGATGGAGCAATGTTCAAAGAGCCACTTCTGAACTTCTCGCCTTTCTATGAAATCAGCGGCACAAAGGGGTCAGCATAGTATGGAGAATCGATTTCTTTGATTTTTTAAGTGCCTTTGAAACTTTTGGGCTAATACTTTCTATGCTCAGGCTCTGCTGGAAGTTTGATAGTTTTTGTAAATGTGTGGAAATTTGAGATAAAATAGTTCTGCATGCAAAGAGAGGAGAGAAATATCTTTAGTCAATTACATTTCAGAAAAAGAAGATATGTATTTTTTTTTAATAGTCTTCCTGACAAAGCTATTGGGAATAAAACACTGAAATTTTCTATAGAATTGTCTCCATGCTATGCTGAATTTTATTACTATTTGCATGAGGTACGACTTTTTGAAAATCATATGGTGTGCACAAAACAGCCTAAGAAAGTCACCCTGTGTTTCATAAACTGCTAAATGATGCAGGAGAGCCCAAAGAGCTAGGAAACACAGCCAGAGTTGTCATTTCATGTGCAGCTCCCTCCCACAGAGCCCTGCTTGTTGTAAGCAAGCTTCTTCTATGACCTGCTCTGCTGTTCCCAACCCTGCTTTTATTCTTTGAAAGCATTAATTACAAAGTTGCTGGGGCTGCAGGGCTAGACTCCCAAATAACCAGGGTTTTTCTTTTTTAACCTGCTGTTTCTTTCAATCCCGAAGGATGAGCTGGCATCAGAAGAATTTAAATGAAGAGAGGCAGCAGCAGGAAGCAGAAGATACTGAAGCTAATCCAGCATATCACTGTCATGGCTACTCACAGGCCTATGAGAACAGAAAAAGGGAGCAGCATCAAGCCAGGAGGAAGCTCTGTATAGCATCAGTAATTTGCATCTTCTTCATGATTGCTGAGATTACAGGGGAGTATGTTTGCTCAAAGAGAGCCCAGTTTGGTGCCCAGCACAGCCATATTCATGCCCTTTTGCACCTACTCTGAGTGCAGCAACCCATGATGCACAGAGGTGAACTCACCTGTGATAAAATAACTCTCCTTTCTCCCCAATCTTTAAAAGAATCGTGGGGTTTTTTTAAGTAAAACTGTCAAAATATTTTCATATATTCATTTAAGGATTGCCTCTGGGTAGGAATACAAGGATCAGTTAATGGTCTAAACTGTTCTCCCAGGTCTTGTTTAAGCTCTGCTAAAAGTGGCTAGCGTATCTTAGCATCATGTCACAAAAGGTTTCTAATAAATTGGGTTACACTTTTTGGAAAAGATTAAAAGATCTTACATGTTTATCCAGGCCAATCAGACCTCAGAACTGATGAAGGCTGCTAGCGGCAGGATCTGATATTAAATGCAACAGTCTTTACAAAACCAAGGGAAATCCAGGGCCAGATTCACCATCTGTTTTTCTTCAGTTAAGTCAATGTATTTATACCAGGGCATGCTTATCTTTTAAACTGGCCTGCTGGTGTGTCTCTGGATCAAGGGAAGATTATTCCCATGTCTAATTAGCCTTCACTTCTGGACCCATCCTACAATATCAAATATAAGTTTTTGGCTCACTCATAGAGCATTAGCGTTTATTCTGTGCCACTGATCTGCTCTCTGCATGGCTTCTGTGATATTTATACCCACCTGATAGTGCCCATCTCTTTCATTTCCCCTTCTCTGTGGTGAGGTGAGGTAAAGCGTAAGGAACCCCACAGGCTTTTGCCACATTGTGCCCCAGGGGATGTAACAAAAATCAGCCAGGAAGGCCTCTGAAATCCATTTTCCCTGCTTCAGCATCTCTGGACCCCCATGAAAATGAAATAGAAAGGCTTTGTCTTCCCCACAGGTGAGAAGTGGAGGCAATGAAAGAGCCGCTGCATTTCTGCTTTCTCCCCTGGCTGCCAAACCCAGCAGGGACTTCTCCAACTCTTTCCTCCCACGCGTTTCATCTGCGTAGTTTGTAGGTCACGTGCATTTCCCCATGAAAACTGGTGCATACCACTAATCTCCATGCAGTAATTTCCAGTGCCAGAAGTAATGCATTATTAACAAAACCATATAATCAGTAGGCTTAAGTCTGGTGAATGCGGCAATGCTAGAGGATAATTGGAAGGACAGATGATATGTTAACTAAATGTTTCATTTTGCTTAATGAATCATACAGCTTTTTTGCAGTGACAGCTTAAGTAACAGGCTTGAAGACCATTTTGCTTCAGACCATTAAACTTTGACAAACCAGTTATTAACTGCAGTTACAGACAGCAGTCTATGGAGATTTTTGTAATTACGAATGATACATTTAATTTTTTTAATCGTTAGGCTAGACAGCCTGTGCCTGATGATTGACCACGGAGTGACTGACAGTTTCTACTGCTTTGTCGTATACAAAGCTATAAACATCCATTGTGGGTTAGAGTAAGTCATAAAGGCCACTTGTTGGGAGTATTGATACAAGGCAATAAAAGCCTATAACTATTACACAGGCTTTACTCTTGAAAATAAATAACATGTTCTCCTTCCTTCTCCTCTTAAGGTCAAACAGCTTCCATGGGCATTATTATGCTAAACAGAAGAAACAAAGCTGCATCACTCTCAGAGAGGTTCAAAAGTTGTGCTTCTTTGAATCCCTAGAACTTTCTCCTGATATTTTTGCTCAAACCATCTGTTCTGGCCCTTACTGGTCTCCCAAAAGGGGCACTATTGGCTGAGCCTGATACACCAACTGTCTCTGAAAGACAATTATCTTCTGTTCTTCTAATGCAGATCCATCACAATCTCCATAGATTTGGAGATATCAGTCAAACCAATGACACCCTATGTGCGGCCCTGATATAAAAGTCCGTTCTAAGGGATTTTAGTGGCTAAGGAGCAAATGTGGATTTCAAAGTACTTTATTTCTATTTGGGCACTAGAAAGACAGACAAACCCAACGTGTCATCATGTCAAAAAGGAATATAAAGACTTGACCAGGTTGCTAAGATAAGACGACTGAGATCTCAGAAACTCACCCAAGGCATGAGTTATGCCAGCAATACATAAAATAATAATTTGCCAACATTTTTCAAAGACAGCAGGCTAGAAGCAAGCTTTTGTAGTGCTGTCCCACAGAACATGGAAATACAGTATCTAAAATTCAATAGGGTTTTGCAGGCAGCTTGTGCTCTACATATTTCTTTGCTGAATGATAGCTGATGCCTTGGTTGTTAACATCTGTGCACTGCCAGACAAGCCTGCTTCCCTCTGCTATGCAAAATTGCTTCCTGTTTGGGAAACAGCTACCCTGCAAACAGTGAAACTCTAGGAGCTGTGTCATGGCCAAAAAGTATATGTGCATTTACACATGCTCATGTTCCGGGAAATCCCTATTCTGTTGAATTTTTCATTTTAGTGGAAGGAACGAGATGCCCCCAAATTCTGCAGTTATACTTGCTCCCTTTTGGGAAGTAACTTTCAGGTGGCTGTAAATGGGATGTATGGGGAGGCAACAGAAAAAAATAATATATGCCCTGTATGTGCAATATGCATTCACCTGCAGTGACAAACCATACAGTATTAGGTATTCTAATCTAAAATCTGCATATGAGAGGAAATTAAACAGACAATCCATCCTGCTGTCATGAAGACTTTCCGTCTAAAAGGAAACAAAACTTGCGTCTACATGTGCCTTTGGCAGTGGTATCTTGCCAAAGGTTTGAATGAGACATTTTACAATGTTTCTCAGGATTTATTGATTCTCATATGGGTTGTGGTCAAGAGAAACAGGTGAGCTGAAATTAATTAAATGACTGAAGAAGGATGGAAATATATTGCCGAATGCAGAAACTAGATGATTTGGCTCTACTATTTCACATTTCCACTTTTCTACATTTCTACCCTGATGAAAAGATTCTCCTGCTATAGCAAGTTGGCAGGACAGCTTCCTGCCTGTGATCCTTGTTTTCTCCTGCAGCCATTGGCAGCTGGGGTAGTTTAGAGCAATCTTTTAGTTTCTTTGGATTTGCCTTTAGCCCTGAGATGTGGTTAGAAGAATTTGGCAAAATAATGGTATTTGGCTTACTGGGTAAAAGAAATGTGGTTTCAGATAGCCTAACATGGCTTGAGTTTTCTTTTCAGAATTCACATGAAACCAAAATCCCCCAAAGTCAAATGACATTCAGCCACATTTTTCCAGCTCTAGTGGCAAAATTAAATCATGCATTACAGATGCAAAATGATAGATTAGTCTTGCAAACAGAACATTTTTCTCTACGCCCTCACCAAAATGGCTGGTTGTTTATCACAGCTCTTCTATTGGGACCTTTCCTTTTACTCCTGTTTTAGTGTTGCATGTGACAAATAAGAAGTTGGGCATCCAGCCATCCAAAACTCAGGAAAAGCATGCATATTTTCCTATAACAAATAGGAAATTAATCCCGTAAGCTAAGAGTCTGAGTATTTGTACATACATAAAAATATTAGCAAACTGTGAAGACATAGTGGGAGGATACTGGAAATGTGATCCCTAATACTGCTTTTCACCAAGAAATCTGATATTAAAACAGTCCAATAGTAGTATAACCACAGCACTAATGTATCACAACTCTAACTGTGCTTAGGACTCTCTCTGTCTCTCTCAGACAAAGAAATTTAGCTTATTTCTATTAATTCATACCTTTCACTGCATGAATGAGGTACAAATGAAACTAACTTTCAAGAGTTTTAAGCCTTGTGTATGATCACGGAAAATTGAATGTTCCCTTTGATTCACAGCAAAGCAGGTCTTGAGTTTCATCTGGTCCACTCAAGCTTCTGACCAGAGCCATGATACAGACCCGTGTTTCACACAGGTGGGCAGATCGCCGGGAGCCTGGCAGTGATCACCGATGCGGCACACATCCTGGTGGACCTGACAAGCTTCCTGATCAGCCTCTTCTCACTGTGGCTTGCCTCCAAACCTCCCACCAAGCAGCTAACTTTCGGGTGGCACCGAGCAGGTAGCAAACATGTCACAGTATGAACATGTGGAATGGGAAAGGGAAGTCATCACAGCCAGGGACTGGAAAACATGCCAATGTCCAACATAGGTCTGCAGATATTCAAAGACAGTGCACTACTGCTCTCAAAGCCCCCAGGACAAACAGAGCAAGCCAGTGAGCTTCAAAGAAATAAAAAGCATAGTCATGTCTTATTTAAAAACATGTCTTTCAGTTCATTAGTGACTATAGTTTTGGGCTGGTGCTAGCTTTGGCTGAGATAACAGCAACTGCTCTCGGTGACTTGAGTGTGAGGAGGACTGAGTCCTCAATCTACTATGAAATACAAGTTTCTATAAAAGCAGCAATACCCATAAAAATGAGGGTCTATTCCATTTACAGAATGATAAAGCAAATCATTAAATTATTTTAAAAAGACAACAATGTTATATTTGTAGAAAAGTTGAGATCCTTTAATGTTCACCATTCTCTAAATCCTCTCCCTGCATATCTCTTTATTACTGCTGGGTTTTATCAGATGGAAGCACTGGTAGGTTTTGAAAGTTCTTTGTCCTCAACCAAAATCAATATATTTACAGATGACACCTAATACCAAAAGCCTTACAATCAAACACAAGTTCTTTTACAAAAGACAAGACATCAGCAAAATATTAACCATGAGAAAAATTTTCTGGGGGTATGATTCTGTTCAAGATTTAGACACCTAAATATCAATGTCTACACGTAAGTGAACACATATAAGCAGAGGGTCCAAGTTTCTGATATGTTCAACAGAAATCTAGGCTCTGTTCTGCTGTCTAAACATAGAGGTCTAGTTCTACACCCCTAGGGTGTCTGAGACTTATGCATGGGAATGACAGCTGTGGGACAAGACCCACAAAAGACTGCAGAGGATTCCAAGCACTTGATCAGGGCATCTCAGATGCCACCAGACACTCATAGTTAAGAAACTAGGATATGTTCCCAGTCAGTCAATGGAGCAGGGACCTGCGTGAATCACCATTAATTTGATGTCCATTGTCCACAATGGGAGTTTAGACACCTAGCTCACACCTACATGTGGACATTTTAATTTAGTTGCCTCAGGCTGGAAATGGCTGTTGTGTGTCTTAGGGCTCAATTTATTTTTGCTCATATGTAAGGGATTGGTGCTATCTGAAATATCCTAATGTGTTCCACAAAGTCTCCAATCACCACTCTAGAAGGCTATGGGTCATCCATACATCTTATGTCAAGTCATACATAGAGGTGTCAGTGTATCTCAAATGCCTGTAGACACCTATGCAGCTGAACTGAGGACTCAGATGATAAATGCTTCAGGGATGTTTAATATGAAGGTCCAGAAACAGCTTCTGACTCAGAATGTCTGCAGGCCAAGGTTGACTGTAGCTGCAGAATGTACCAGAAATAACATATGCCATACTCATCCTGTCTTTATATTGCTCCCTAAGTATATTCTACCAACCCTGCTGGAAACAGGCTGCTGGATGAGGGGAAGGTTTAGTATGACTGAAACGTGGCTGGCATTATGTTGCCAACACACAGCTGAATTTTGCAGCCTTAGCAAGCTACTACTTACCATCGGTTGATCCATAATTACTTTTTGTGTTTATGCTCTCTTAGCCTGGGAATAAAGGAAAGTGAAAGACTCCTCTCTTGCTGACGAGATGGTAGGCAGGTTCAGCCACCTCATGTAACTTCACCCTCAGTCTGTGTTTTTTTTGTTAGGTTTTGGCGGGGGGTTGTTTGGTTGGTTGGTTGGGTTTTTTTGTCATTTCAATGCAGAACTTCAAAACCAATCCTTTATTGCCTTTTTATCCTGGTAGCAAAGACAGCCCTGCATCAAATGTCAGTGGCTATTTAATTGCATTCCATGATAGTTACCCTGTTTCTTGATTATTTTCCCAGCTATATTTCCAGTTTAATATGCAGGTGGGTGCCTTTATAGAGTAGCTGAGGGCAGTCAGGTGGGTGGCAGAGTCACTGTGTGCCAACTACCAAAGTCTTGCAGGTGCAGCCCTCCATGACACTGGAAGCTGTTTTTTCACTGTTTTTCTCAGACTGATAGATAGGGTTTGTTGTGCAAAGACTGTGTGTGGACTTGGGTTTAGCAGGAGCCATCTGAATGCCTCCTGTCTTCTAAGCCAGACCCAGGCAGCAGAATCAGTCAAGACAGCAGTTAAACACAATTGTTTGGGTGTGCAGGTACTTTCAGCAACATGGTTAGAAGCATAATATTGAAGGAGACTGATAGTATGAGCCAGACCTACTTCCAGGTAGGAGACCTCTCTTCAACCTCTATTTCTTAATCTCTGGTATGATTCAGAGTTTCCCAAACAATCCTATGCTATTGTTTGCTGTGCTCTGTTAGTGCAACTAGTTCTGAAGAAATGTATCTGAGAACATCTCAAGTAAAACATTTAGTACTACTGAACTAGTCTGTAAGCTTAGCTAAACTTTTACTAAGTTACTACATTGAAAAGTAATAGGTATTTTCACCTATGTGGGTAAAGATGCTCTCTAACTTTTCCAGCTGTGGAGTATATGCACACACACACACACAGACAGACATTCATGCAGGTGTTCACAAAAGTTGTCAGCTCTTTTCATGGCAATGATACCATAGCCATCAACACCTTCAGCTGGGCCAGGTTTGCAGGGTTTCAACCTGTAACTTGCAGAAAATAAAAACACCAGGTTTATCAGAAAATAGAAACACAATGCTTTATGTAAGCTTCTCTCTGTCTACTTCTAAGCAAAACTAGGTTTCCCTGTCAGTGCACTTTCATTCATTATTTGTCAGTTTTAGACAAAATGGCTATTTTGATAAGCATCTGGAGTCTGGACTGCTGCAAAATGTGTGACCCTCATAAAAATATATTCAAAATCATAAGATGAGTTTCAGCTGCTTTCGTGAACTGACAGTGGAGGTCTGTGCAAGTGCTTTGCTCTTTCTGGCTATCTACCACCTTTCACTTTACTGTGAACTTTCATTTTCCTTGGTATTGTCTCAGTTGTGCTCATAAAGTGCCACACTTACCCATTCAAGTCACATGGCAATTACTAGTCCCACATCCTATTAAAAACATGCCGCGTGTTCATACGAACATTCCCGGACCTCACCTACGGCAGTGCAATAAAAGGTGGCCTTGGGGACTGGATTTATTTGAGCCCAACTCAGAGCCAATAGAGACAAAATTAAATTTTGCTGCCCCAGGGAAAAAATAACTTCTTTTGTCCTCATCACCGCTGGTGGCACAAAAATGATTTTGTGGCATTGGCAGGATGAGTCCCCGGAGAGAGGAAGGAGAGGTTTTGCTGGCAGGACCTCGTCAGGGGCTGTCACTGCCTTTCTGAAGTGTGAACTGACAAGAGGTGTGCAGAAACTAGAGAGGCTACTGGAGGGGAATTATGTCTGCCAGTTTGGGTGAGCCATGCCTCTCTCCTTCCCTTCAACCTCTGCTCCCGTGACTAAGATAATCTTGGGGGAGGAGGGCTGGTTCCTGGGGCCTTCAAACCATACTGGCAGGGCCAGGCAACTATGTAAGGTGTAGAAGAATTGCTCTTTTATCCTTTTCTACCTTTACAGCTCCTTTTCCTCCTCCCAAAACTCCCCAAACAATCTTTTTCATCTCTCCAATTTCTCCAAATGCCACATGAACTCAACACTGGAATGGGCACATAAGTAGCAGCAGGTAGAACAGGCTTAGGCCACCACATGCATAGGGCTTCCCTGGGGTGACCAGGAAGGGTTTTGGCCCATTCTTTGTGAGCATCAAGGCTGACAATACATAAGAAGTAACTGCTGGCTATAAAGCTCACAAACCTGGAAGCATTACCAACGATCCCTTAAAATTTCTTGTGTTTCTGTTATAACTCCTGTTAAAATCAGGTTTTTTTAAATTCCTAGAAATTCTGGGAGCTTTGATGTCTATGATAATCATTTGGATGGTGACTGGTGTGTTGACGTATTTGGCTAGCATGAGGCTGCTACACCCCAATTATGATATTGATGCTACAGTGATGCTTATCACCTCCGCTTGTGCTGTGCTCGCCAACATCCTGTAAGTTACTTTGTTTTGCTCTCCATATGACTTTTGAACCTTGAACCTGCTGCCATATTTCCATAAAAAATGATAGAGGGGTATTGGCCTCAAAAATCTTAAGTGTTTATGAGTTTCATGAGAATATGGAAAGGGGTAGGGAAGAGAGATCCTGCTTCTCATTGAAGGCTGCAGTTGCTCTCCTCCTTTCTGTTAGCTGCCACACTGGGGAGGGAAATTATAAATGCACAGACTCCAGGAAAAGATTAATCTCCATCTCGCTTTTTATTAGATGTCAGAACATTCAAGGACTCTGTAGAAAATGAGGCCTTATTAATTCCCCTGTTCACAGAGTTTCTTGTTTGTATATGTCATGGTTCCCTGGCCAACTCCCCCAGTTTCTATACTGAGCATGACATCATATGGCATGGAATATCCCTTTGGCCAGTTTGGGTCAGCTGTCCTGGCTGTGCCCCCTCCCAGCTTCTCGCTGGCAGGGCGTGAGAAGTTGAAAAGTCCTTGACTAGGGTAAGCACTACTTAGCAATAACTAAAACATCAGTGTGTTGTCAGCATTATTTTCATGCTAAATGCAAAACACAGCACTATGCCAGCTACTAGGAAGAAAATTAACTATCCTAGCCGAAACCAGGACAGTATAAAAACCACTGAATCACCTAGGAATTATCTGTTTAGCCACTCTGTATTTTTACCTAATGTGTCTGATTTTTCTGTTCAGCATTCAGAGGTAAGAGGATTGATGACGTGTGTGACATCACTGCTTTCAGAGATGCAGTAACCCCACTGATATTTGCAGCTTTACATCTCTTGCAGACTCAGCCTGATTCTGCATGAGACTGGCCACGGGCACAGCCATGGGGCACAAGCCAGGGAACACATGTCGGCCCCTCTAGAAAAGGCAACTCTGAGCAATGCCAGTCTGCGGGCAGCCTTTGTGCACACCATCGGAGATCTATTCCAGAGTATTAGTGTGCTAATTAGTGCACTTATCATCTTCTTTAAGGTTAGTTTTATTAGTTCACTTGCCTTGCAATTAAGGATAACAGTTACTTTCATAGCATTGTGACACTTGGTACTATGTAAATAATTTCTCTGTCTTAATGATATACATTGTAATTTAGTCAAAGACAATTATACTCATTCTTGGGAATTGAAATGACTGTTGAGATTGTAACACTTCCTTCTTGGTGTCTCAACTGCAAGGAGGATACTTTGGTGTCTCTCCCTTTCTTTGCCTGTAGCGCCTTCATTCCCTGTGCTGAGGCTCCCTAACAGGCAAAGGAAGTCAGCACTCATTCTGCACTAAATGGATGGAATATATTATTCTTTGAGATTAACTAATTAAAAATGGCAATAACCAACAATAATGAAATTAACAAAGTGATGTGTTCATATTTTTCCAGCCAGAATGCAAAATAGCTGACCCAATCTGCACATTTGTGTTTTCCATCTTTGTTCTGGCAACCACCATCACCATTTTAAGGGATATTTTGATTGTGTTAATGGAAGGTAGGACCTGATTCCAGAACGAATACAGTTATATTCTGGGGTTTTTCTGTCTTTTTATCTATAACGCTTATACTCACTGACAAAAGTATAATAGCACACTTCTGTATCATTTTCCAGTATTCTCATAATTCTGATCATACTTTAAACCCAACTACAATTTTAATCAAAACTGTTTTCTACCATTGCACTAGAAGATTTTTATATGTGTCAGTTTTCATAATAATCTGTGTACTGGTGTTTTGCTAATGAATTCCCAATGTGTTTCCTAAAACTGAGTTGCTTTTGTTTGTCGTATGTGTAACATTGCTTTTTATCACCCCTTTGGCGTATGAGATGTCTACTCACTCTGTTCATTGTGTAATTCCTTTACCCATATGAAATACAAGTCTTTGCCAAAAAAACCCTCAAAGAAAACAGAAGGACTGTGCTTTGAACTGTGTCTGTGAAATAGGCTGAGTGCAAGAGGCAGAAGTTAAAAAGATTTTTAGTTACGCCAGTCCAGAAAAGCAAGCCGATGGAGTTTTCCAGTCACGTTCAGGTGCTAGGGAATAGGCAATTCTCAGCACATCAGCAGCAAAAACTAGGCTTAGCAATATTTAATCCTGTCAGCTATGGGCCTGAACATTTGATTTGCAAGGCCAAATTACTTAAGCAGTCATAGATGCATGTTTTTGTCTTCCTTACACTGAATAATATAATGCAATCTCTTTCTCAGCTATGAAGACATAAAGATTAAAGGGAAAAGTAGCTCTAACAATGTAGATTTTGAATGGATACGAGTTACTCAGTGTGACTGTCTGCAGGCCTATTTACTTCTCTCTTTCGCTTTGCACCTACTTCTGTTTCAAGAAGTAAAATTTCCAATATTGTTTTACAGTAAAGCTTCATTCTAGGGTTGGTTTGCTTTCAGTGACTGTGAGATAGAGATACATTTGTGTAGAAGTGTAGCTAGACAGAGTGCAGCACCTGGCTGTATCTTGGCTGCCAAAAAATCAGAAGATCTCTTGATTACTGAAAAAAAAAATCAAACTACCAGGAAGGCCTGGCAGCCCCTGACACTCAGGTGTCTCTTTCTCAGAGCAGTGATTCCCAGCTTCCGTAAGCAGTGCTGACATGCCAAAAATTGGCAATGCTCTGTTCCCCTCTGCAGCAAGCCCTTTCACACTGTCCTTCTGGGGAGGTCTCTGAAGCCACACTGTCCTTCTGGGGAGGTCTCTGAAGCCAATCTCCTACCTCTTAAGTAGCATATTCTGCCCAGAATTTTCTAAAGAGAAATTGGATGTTGGAGCTGGTATTGGAGGTGGCTCTTACCCCATGCATCCAGTCTGTCCTGCGGTGTCAGCCCCACAGCCCCTGTGACTGTGTCATGCAGGCACTGACTGTCCATGGTTTTCTCTAAAGAGCATGTACATGTCAGCATCATATTCTGCTAACTCAGTACTCCATATAGCATATAATTCTTGTAATAAATGGATAGCACAAAGCATACAGCACTGAGGTCATTAATGATTCGGGGTTGTTCAGCCTGGAGAAGAGAAGGCTGCAAGGAGACCTTATTGTGGCCTTTCAGTACTTAAAGGGGGCCTACAGGAAGGATGGGGAGAATCTTTTTAGCAAGGACTGTTGTGACAGGACAAGGAATAATGGATTTAAACTAAAGAAGAATAGATTTAGACTGGATATAAGGAAGACTTTTTTTACAATGAGGGTGGTGAAGCACTGGAACAGGTTGCCCAGAGAGGTAGTGGAGGTCCCATCCCTGGCAACTTTCAAGGTCAGGTTGGACGGGGCTCTGAGCAACCTGATCTGGTTAAAGCTGTCCCTGCTCACTGCAGATGACCTCTAAAGGTCCCTTCCAACCCAAAGCATTCTATGATTACAAATAATTATCAGCTATGGTATGAAAGACAAAATTAACCAATACTGTGCTTATCATTATTATACTTCATAACTGGTGGCATTAAAAATATTTTTCAGTTTACTGATCCAAGTGAAGCATGATGAGTATAGCTGTTCATGTGGGCATAGAGGTGCATTTCCAAACTCCCAGGTCTCACTGCAGGGAAGACCTGTATTTAAATTCCTTGGTCAAATTTGTATTTAGATTAAACTCTGAATTTCATGTTCATGAATTCACCCTATCACAATTGCCCTCACTCTGAATGAGGGTTGTCACCATCATCATCTTTTGTAAGAAGGCTCATCTAGGAAAACAATCACTGATCTACTCAATAACTAGACCTGGGATCTAATCTCATCTAAGATTCCTGAGTCAAACTATTTTAATCTTTATGTTTGTCTTTCTCTCTCTGCTAAACAGATGTTTCTCTATTGTGTAAATGTATTGAGGGCAGAATCCCTCAGAGGTGCTCCAGTGATACCATAAAATCTGCACTCACAAAAGATGTTGGTGCACAACTAGGACATCATCTGGCTAAACAGCTCATTTCCCTATGTAAACTGGACCCTCAGAGTATCTCCTGAGATATACATGAGTCTCATTCTTCCATGAAGGAGTATAAAACAAGGGATAGGATTAAATTTCACAGTGAACTCTGAAATAAACAGGTTTTCCAAAGCATTGAGTATCTTCATAAAAGTTATACATCTAACTGAATAAAGGTTCATGATGTATTTTCCTCTAACGATCATCATTTTTATCTCTTCAAATTTTTTTTCCCACCAATATCTCCTTTTCAGGAACATCAAAAGGATTTCCTTATGATGCAGTGAAAGCAAGAATTTTAGCAGTTGAGAAAGTGGAGTCTGTTCACAACCTTCATCTTTGGTCTCTGACAATGAATCAAACTATTCTATCTGCTCATGTTGCCACAGGTCAGTAAATTTCTGTGAACAGGGAGTAAGTATCCAGTTGCTGCCTCGTAAAGGTCAGTCTCTCCTGACTGGGATACAACTGACTGTATATCTGTTGTTTGTTAAAAAAAATGTCATCATTTTGTTGGAAAAATAACAACAACAACAACGACGAAAGCTCTCAAATCCTACTCCCAGAAATCTTGCCAAAACAACAGGGACCTCTACTTAGCCTGAAACTTGACAACTGCAGAGGTTGTGGAGCAAGGAAGTAAACTACAAGATATTTTAAATAAATTAGAAGAATTAGGCCCAGGCTGGATTTTTCTCACAATATCAAATAGATTTTGGAGTGGATTTGTCAAACTTGAAAACTGTTAATTGCTATAAGAAAAACTTACAGGGCATATCTGCATTCCTGATGCATCTCTAGCTGTAAAACAATCTTTAAAACATAGCTTGGAGCATAGAGGTAACGCCAGGGGAACAGTTCATCTTTAAAAATATTTTTTTAAAATGTAGTCCTTATCCCTGTTGACAAATTGTCCACTACCCAGATTGATTTTCTTGTTTATCTGTTTGCTTTGTACATGTTAAGGTTTATATAAAAAAAAAATTCCACCTGTGTTTGGCCAAGAATGGCTTCAGAGGCAAAGTCCTCCATGCAGTCCCTGCTTCCTAAAAAGAATGGGTCTATCAGCCACCCGAATCACTTGGCACTGTTGCTACTCCCTGGCTGGCTGAACTAATCTTTATTAAGTATTCCTGCTTTCCTCCAGTCTTCTGCCAAACTGAATTTCTTTGGTGATTACTCTTAGCTCAGCTCTTGCCAAAATTGCATATTCTGACCACATTTGAATGAACAAGCTTTTGCTGACATGCAGGTTCCTGAAAGGAGAATAAAAAGGACAAGAAAGACTTCTCAAAACAAACTTTATGTTAGAAGTTTGTGAATAGCTTCTGTCAGTAAACACTTACTCTCCTTTAAAGTATTATATTATATGCATTTTGATTATTTTCTGCTTGCTATCTATAGCAGACACAGCAGATAGCCAGAAGATTTTGAGAAATATTACTCAAACCCTGTTCGAGCACTACAGCTTCCACTCCATCACCATTCAAATTGAATCGGGAGAGGATCAGAAACGAGACTGCAACTTCTGTCAAGAGCCCAGGGATTAAAGGGCTCATATTATGCAAAATAATGGTCACTCCTCTTACAGGTCAATGGACTATATGTACTGGTTGTATGTAATTGATTAACAACAAATGGTAATTAACGGAACTAAAAAGCCCTGCCACTGCAAGCAGTGCATGGATCTTTATTTGTTGGTATCATCTACCAGGAGAGAACATGTATTAGGTCCATCCATCAGTTAGATTACCTGTCCATCAGCGGTGACTTTCAATTACAAGAGAAAGTATCCAAATTATTCTTGACTAGAGCAGCAGATTGGCACTAAAGCAACATTTAAGAGTGCCTTTTTGTAACCACAGGTAACAAAAAACTAATCAACCTTCAAATTACCAGCAAACCAATTATCACAAAACAATGAAATGTAAGTTTGGTGTTAGCAAAGCTCAAGACTTACTCAGGATAAAAGAGAAAATTTTAATTAGCACAAGGGATGAAGAGATCTGGGAAAGAAAGAGATGGTGGCATGTGCTTTCCCTGCCTTTTGGCAGACAATCTTCCTGCATATTAAGGGAAGTATGAGATGTGCACCATATTGTGCAGCATGGATCACAAGAGGATTCACTCCATTCACATTTAGCAAATAGTTCTTTGGTTTTTTAGCTAGTCCTATCTACATTAAGACATTAAGACATTGAGGTGCTGGAGCGTGTCCAGAGAAGGGCAACAAGGCTGGTGAAGGGTCTGGAGCACAGGCCTTATGAGGAGCGGCTGAGGGAACTGGGGTAGTTTAGCCTGGAGAAGGGGAAGCTGAGGGGAGACCTTGTCGCTCTCTACAACTACCTGAAAGGAGGTTGTAGTGAGGTGGGTGTTGGTCTCTTCTCCCATGTAGTTAGTGATAGGATGAGAGGAAATGGGCTTAAGCTGTGCCAGGGGAGGTTTAGGTTGGAAATTAGGAAAAATTTCTTTACAGAAAGGGTGGTCAAGAATTGGAACAGGCTGCCTAGAGAGGTGGTGGAGTCACCATCTGTGGAAGTGTTCAAAAAACGGGTAGGTGTGGCACTTGGGGACATGGTTTAGTCTAGTCTACCCTTGACTGGCTTAGAGTGGACTTGTTAGTGTAGGTTAATGGTTGGACTGGATGATCTTAAAGGTCTTTTCCAACCTAAACGATTCTATGATTCTATGATTCTACTTTTCAGCTAGCCCTCAGCCAAACTGTTTTCTGCCAGACATGGGAAGTACTCTCTACTGTCAAGACAACCCATAACTTGTACCGCACTGCATCATGATAAGTTGTGATGGAACATTTGAAGTGGCTTTTTGGGTGTCCGTGTCACAAGGTACCACTGGGTTGTGACAATGAAACAGAACAGGTGCTCTTAGAAAAGGAAAAAAATAATTAGGACAAGGAAAGACTGTGGCCCATTGTGAACATCACGTCTAGTGTCCTTCACAGTACGGCCTGTGGGGTGTTACTAGAGTTTCTATATGTACTGGTTGTATGTAATTGATTACATTGGAGTTTCTAGGCTGACAGCTGGAAAGAGCATTGTGTTATTAAGGTACAAAGAGGCCTTGCTTTTTAGGGAATTCGGTTTTATTTGCAATAGGTTCACATTAGTTTTCTACTTTATTGTCCTAAGGAGATTAGAATTTATTATTAGGGGCTTTTGGCTATGGATAATACATAACTATGTGATCATAGATTGATGTATTAAGCTGTCATTTGTTACCTGGTAGGGGGAACAAGAAATTATCATATCACACAGACATTCACTGTACAGTGAAGGGACGTGTCTCTCCTTCAGGCAGCTAATTCCCCGATTCCTTAACAGGATGCGTTAAATCTTCCTCTTCTGCATACCTGACAATTGTTGCTGCAGAACTGGGAACAAAGAGTCAGGTCTTGCTGCAGTGCCTCTATATTTGTCCAATCAACTGAATTAAACTCTCTCCTGTTAGCAAAAGCAAGGGCTGCACTTCAAAATGCATGCTCAACTGCTTCTTCATAAAACAACTTCTATTCTGCCCTTGGCCATAATAGTGCAGCTTCACTTTCCATGCAGAACTAGACGTAATGTTTTCCCACTCCACAATCCTCACTCCCACAGCTGTAGGGCTCATTTTATTAACAGGTTTGTTAGAACAGAATAACGTATGGGATACTGAGTGGCACTGAGTTTCTAGGCTGACAGCTGGAAAGAGCATTGTGTTATTAAGGTATAAAGAGGCCTTGCTTTTTAGGGAATTCGGTTTTTTTTGCAATAGGTTCACATTAGTTTTCTACTTTATCGTCCTAAGGAGATTAGAATTTATTATTAGGGGCTTTTGGCTATGGATAATACATAACTATGTGATCATAGATTGATGTATTAAGCTGTCATTTGTTACCTGGTAGGGGGAACAAGAAATTATTCTGCTTTGTGGAGGCATCCCAGAAGATCTTAGTCAGGTAAAGCTCCCACTGAAATCAGATGAGGTATTAAAACACAACACCTGCTAAGAATTTCATGAGTATCTCATTATTTACTGGCTCGAAAGAACTGAGAACATAGCAGTGGTATTCAATACAGTGCTAAAGACAATTCTTGCCCTTTACAGCTAAAACTCCAGAAGATAAGACACAGATAAATCAAAGCACAGTCAGAAACCTTAAATGAAGAAATTAACTTGTACTTTGGCCAGTTTCTCTGCTGGTATAATTTAGCATAGGTGCCTCCTACCAAAGGCAACTCAGTTGTGCTTGTTAAATAACCCGAGAAACCTTTTCATTAGCTGGGGAGGACAAATTAATAGTGTGGCCTTCATATGAAAAAAATGTCTTTCAAAACATTTTGAATAAGATGACGACACAGGCCTGGATATAATAGGGAATTCTGGGGAGCAGTTTTATGGTCAAGGACAACATAAAAGATAATGAGTGGGTGACAGAAGCATCCATATAGGACACAGATCCAGTTCTGAGATTTAGGCTGAGGTGGAGATAAAGACCAGAAGTTGCAGAGCAATTCCAAGAACAATTCTGAAAACAACCTTTTACCAAGACAATATCCCTGAGGATCAGACTAGATGAAGAACAAATATACATTTTACCTTCATATACATAGTGGGAGCATTAAAGATTCAGCTCCTTATAGCAATATTCATAACTACAGGTAAATATTTGCTCTAAATTCATCTTCAATCTATCATATTTAGGTAAAATTTCCTCAGGTCTTCATAAGTCATTGCTTTATTTTTGCCACAGTGGTCTGCTAGAGTAAATTCCACAACAGAAAGTAGAGAAAATTGCACTGTCTCTAGCTTTTGCTAAAGATACATGGTTAAATTATTTCACCTGAAATACAAGGTCTACTGCTGCTAACAAACCCAAACTTCTCTTCCTCCCCTTTCCTGTCCTGACCTTTACTACTCACATACTTGGGCTACCATTCTGAGGGCCCTATGGATCATCAGTATTACTGTGGATGGCAGCTGCTACCTCACTTCCTTCTTAAACCTTCTTTTTTACAACTTTCCCCTGCTCCCTTTCATTAAGGATCATTATTTTGGATTAAGTTCTTCTTTCCTCATGTCTCTGTATTTCACTGCTCCTTTTTCCAAAACATAATGAAAAAGTCTCCCATCCTTTCAATTCATTTGGACAATAGCTTCATCAGTCCTGGTCCCGGCTGCTGAATCTTCTTTTTTCTAGCCCCTCTTGCATTGCTTCCATCCAGGTTTTCCACAGCTCTGCTACTCAGCATAGCTTTCTTGGTGGACCATGTCACTTTGCTTAATTTTTTTCCAAGAACAACTTGGAGCTGAATCTTTAATGCTCCCACTATGTATATGAAGGTAAAATGTATATTTGTTCTTCATCTAGTCTGATCCTCAGGGATATTATCTTGGTAAAAGGTTGTTTTCAGAATACTGTCTGACTGGCTGGGGAGGACTTCTGCAGAAATGCTACTGCGATATACAGTGGCCAGGGCTGAGAAATTCAGAGACAATTTCCAGACTTCTCTGCTTTTATTGACTTTACATCCTTTTGGTTGTCTGCAGAATAACTATAAAAATATTGACAAAAAAAATGCTATCTATAAATCATTCTTGGAACCACTGTGAAACTGAAAAGCATTTGTCATGTAAGCGGTCTGTTTTCCATGTCTGTTTTTTGGTGGAGTTCAGTTCACATGGGCAAGTACGTGGTTTTACTGCCTAGCACTGAAATTTTATGTACATAAGTGTATTCATCTTCCTCTAAATCTTAATGTAGTCATTTTGCAGCTTGTAAATTATATAGTTCTCCATTCCCCAAAAAGCAGTCTCTCTTTTTCATTTTCCACAACCAAAATCTAACACATTGAGCAGAGCCTGAGGTTAAGGAGTTTGTAGAAGCTCAAGACTTTTTGGAGTAGAAACCATGAAACGGGCAAATGCAAAGCTAAACTTTCTTCATTCAGCACTGACAAAGGGCCTAAGTGCCAATATTATGCTGAGATGACCCTCAAACAATGACAGAAATATTTATAATTATTTGAACTGGAAACAGCTAAGGCACAAATCTCTCATTAGCATCAGTGGAATGCTCCCTTACTGTAACTACAGTGGTAGACATCATCCTGTGTTCTTCTGTCTGAAATGTGAAGTGATTATGAGAATTGGGTATGCAATCAAGGATTACATTGCCCACTTAGTGTGAGACATCATGACAGTAATTCGCCATCTCCAGAGGAAGGCCAAACAAGATATCCTAATCCTGTCCATGGCACCAAATAGTGGCCTAAGCAACAAGGACTGTGTAGGTCTGCAATATCATTCTTACCAATGTCGGGAGGTTATATCAAACAATTTTGGTTCTGAGCTTTTTCTCCTCTGTTGTAAAAGCTAGCATGCTCCAACATACCTTCCTCAGTGCCTTCCCCTCAGCCATAGCAAATGTGCTCTCCTTCCTTTTTCATCCCCTTTGACTATTGTCCCCTTCTAGTCTCTGCTCTTCTATTTTTCTCCATTTGTCTTTTTTCAGTAATGCCTCAACTGGCTGCCTATTCAAATTTCAATG